CTTCATCCTCATCAATTTTTCATTTTTCATTTGTTTTAAATATTATCATTGATGTTGTTATCGTTATTATTACCGTTGTTATTATTACTATTATCATCATTAATTACATTATTATTTAATTTCATTATTGCTGTTATTATTATCGTTACCAATATTATCGTTATCATTACTATTATTATTGTTATATTATCATTATTATGTTATATTATCATTATTATGTTATATTATCGTTAATGATTGTATTATTATCATCATTGTAATCATTATTACCGTTAGTATGCTTTGTTGTCTTTATTCATGACTTCATTAAGTTAATCATCTGTGACCTTTTGCTTCTTTTTGGTTGTCTATATTTTTCTTCTCATTGTCCCACCCCTCTCTTTCTCTCTTTGTTTCACTGTTTCTGTTCCTCTCTATCTATTTATCTATGTCTCTGTCTCTATCTTTATTGTTGTTATCTTCATTATTCTTACTATTTTTATCATTGTTGTTGTTATTATAATTATTTTTTATCATAATTATCATCATTATTATTGTTGATATAGTTGTTGTTCTTTTTATTATTATCATTATTTTATCATCATAATCATTATAATAGTAATGATGATCATTATTGCTGCTGTTTTTTATATTGCTATCATTAGTTGTAGCACTATTATCATCATCATCATTATTATTATCAACATCATTATTATCATTGCTATAGTCATTATCATCATTATCATTGTTATTATCATTGTCACATTAGTTTTTTATTTTTTTCCCTGACGCAAAACAACCACAATAATAATAATAACAATAATAATAATAATCACAATAATAATGATAATAATCACAGTAGAAAAAGATTATAATAACGATAAGGGAAATGATGATAATGATGATAATAATAATAAGAAAAAGAAGAAGAAAAATCATTATTAAAACAATGATGGTAACAATTAAAAAGTAACAATATGAGGAGGGGAGGGGGGAGGGGGGATTGTCAACAGATGATTTATTCACTAATTCTTATCAGCGTTGTTATCATTTTGAAAATCAGTTACCTTTTGATATTCTTATTGCTATTATCGCCATCGTCATTTTTTGTCATTATGATCATTATCATTATAATCATTATGATCGATACATTATCATTATAATTCTGATTGCAATTATTATTGGTTTTATCGTTAGCATTATTACAATCATTATCATTAGTATTATCGTTATTGTTACAGTTGTTACTGCTACCGTTGTTATTATTATCACTATCTTCTTTGTTAACATCCAAAGTATCAATATCACTATTATCATTAATTTCATTATTATTATTGGTAATGTTACTGTTCTTACTATTACAAATATCATTATTATCATCATCTTTACCTCGATTAATGTTGCTCGTATCATTATCATCATTTTAATATCACTGTTATTTTCATTATCATCATTATCATTATTAATGTTGTTATTGATGATTTATCATGAATATCATTATTAATACTTTTATCATAGCATTAACCATAATATAATTATATAATATATCATTATAATGGTATAGCATTGATTATATTAATGATAATCACTGTTATCATTACTCTTATTGCTATTATCATTGTTATTCTTATTTCTGTTACCATTATCCTTATCATCATCTTATCATCAGTATTATTATCATTGCCAGTGTGATTGTTATTATTACCATAATAATCATTATCAGTATCATTCTTATTATGTTTTGCATATTTTTTACAACTATCATTACTGCTGTTGTTGGTGGTGTTATCATTATTATCCTTATTAGTAGCAATTTTTGTTTAACTTCTAGTATTTAAAACAACAAATCATGCAAGATAATTATTTATCTAGCCATTACTGGTATCCTCACTGGCTACTCGCATTGACGTTATTTAGCTCCGCCCCATTGTCACATCTGTCAATCAGTGCCATAATTTGTGATGTGTATCTGCAACATATTTTTTTCTGACAATAGCTAAAAACGACAATGAAAAAAGGAAGAAAAAAATAGAAAAAAAATACAGTAAACATTTTGATATAGTGACCGATGGACAGGCTTTAGCTCGACCATTGCCAATAATGATTTTCATTGAGAACGTGCTTGATTATTTTATAAGTACCTTGAGTATCATTATTGTCACCATCATCATTATTATTACCAAAGCTTTTATTGTCATTACTAACATATGGCTTACTATTTCCATTCATATGTGCATATATATGTTGCTATTAATGACATAATCATTTTCTGACATATCGTTTGTACCCATAGTTATTGCTATACCCTGTATTTTATCAATGTTTCGGTAATATTGCCGGTGTTGGTGTATCAGCATCCCTTTTATCATTATCTTTTCAGTCACTGGTATTATCATCATTGCATTACCACTACGAATTTTATTAACATTCCCCTCCTTTCATGACTGTTACTATTATCATTATACCGATTATGATAATCACAATATTCACACCACGCAAAAAAAAAAAAAAAAAAATAAATAAAAAATAAAATAAAAATAATAATAATAATAAAAAACACTAAGAAGGGCGTCAAACTCACTAAATGACGAATGCCAGGAGTGAGAGTGCCAGCATCGCCTTCCGAGATATAATAAGTGCCACGGGAGAAGGGATAGGGGGGAGGGGGAGGGGAGATCGATGCCAGGACGGGGAGGGAGAGAAAGGTGAAGGTAGATGGGGAAAGGGAGATAAATGGGGGGGGGGGGGAGAAGCATAGGGGGGAGGAGTTTGGAAGGGTTTGAGGGGGGGGGATAGGGAATGGGAGGGGGTATGGGAGAAGAAAGTGGAGAAAGAGGATGGGGAAAAAAGAGTCGACATGGGAATAAATAGGTAGCGGCTAATGATGGAAAAGAAGAAAAGGAAAGCTGGATTGATAATTAGGTATAGGTATTTGTGGATTAATAATCGGAAAAAAAGAGGGGATACGCTCGAAAGAGAGT